AAACTGGGGGAGGGGAGAGGGAAGAGACTGCCTTTGATCTCAGCGGAGGAAAAAAAGTCTGTTCTGTTCAGGCTTTTGGCTAACACAACAAACAGTGTTTAAAATTTAACTTTGCTTAATTAATTAGTAATTCTGTTTAATGCTGTCTGATCTCCCTCCAAAAGGTATTTTGAAGCTTGAGAAGGGAACATCAAAGGGAGCCGGGTGAAGATGGTCAAGTAATGCATTTAATCTGGCAGTTGCTGGGGGTGGAGAGATGCCAGGTCGGGAGCTGACGTGGGAGGGAACCATCATCTGGCCAACACAGCCAGAGGCGTGGGGGGTGGGGGGGAGGCTGCTTCCAGGGCTCCACCCACTGCCCCCAGGAATGAGGCAGAGACTGGTGTAAGAATGCAAAGTTGACATTTTCTCCCTTCCTTGATTACCGTGCAGATGTGCTGGCTGCGTACTGCACAAGGGTTCCAGGTCCTGGGCCAAGCAGCAGTCAGAGGCAGCTGTCTAGGAAGGTGCCCTGGTGGGGTATGGGACTGCATTTAGCACGGCAGCATGGTCCAAGGCCAGGAGAACACACGTTTTCGGCTTCCTTCGTGGGCTACTGCTCCTTCCTGCTGCTATGGAGCAAGCGAGGGAGCCAGAGACAATGCATGCGTCTGTGGCTGTGTCCCAATAAAACTTTATTTGCAGAAGCAATGCGGGGGCCGCTTGGCCAGTCCCTGCTCACAGTCTCCCAAACACACCCCCCCCCCCAGGCAAGTCAAAGGCTGTGCTTCCCTTGGAACTCTCTTCCCTCTTCCTTTCATCCTGCTTTTCCTCCTGCTCTCCTCCCTTCTTTCAAGTCAGACTCATTTCCTGCTGTTCTTCATGAAGGGTGGTAGCCATGCTGCGTCTGCTACCCACTCAGAGGATGGCCCCAGGCCGTGGCATCAGAGATGTGCCCAGCTCCTCTCCACCTCTGCCCTGACCTGGGGAGCCTGGCACTGCTCACTCTTCTCTGCAGTCTGTGGGCTGGCCCTTGGGTAGGACATGGAGGACTCCTCTGCACGGGCTCTGGCTGGCCATGAGCTGCCTGTGCCCAGGGAAGGGGGCCCTGCAGCCCAGCTTCTGCCATGGGGACTTTCTGCTGGGTTCTCCTCCATTGCTGGCCCTGGGTAGGAGAACCGGGAGAGCGCAGGGCTTCTTGGGTGGGGGCGGAGGGGTGCGGCTGGTCCTTATACATGCTCCTGAGGGTGGACAGGCTCTCCATTCTTTATCTCTGCAGCCAGCCCCACTCTGTGAGTGGCCCCTAGGGTGTCCAGGCCAGTTGGGCAGCTGAGGGACAGGCTGGTGAGGACAGTCAGAGGGGGCCTGCCAGGAGGGGGCTAGCATCCCTCGGCCGCCTCCCCAGGAGAGCAGGCTGGAGGGGAGGCAGGGAGAGGACCCGAGTGGGGACAGGCTGTCCATAGGCAGGTGGGCGAGGTGGAGGGGGGGCAGTGGGGGTGCTGGAAACAGAGGCAGGGACAGAGGTTTCTTTTCTTCAGGTTTTATCAAGTGGAACTTGAAAGGCAACATTGAACCTGAAGGTGGTTTTCTGATAACTTCCCTTTGAACTCGAAGTTTGGTTTCGATAAGCCCGGCCGGCTTACATCTCCAGCCAGGACCTCTGCGGAGGGAGGTAGCAAGCTTTGAAGACAGGAGCTGCTCTTTGTTTTTATTTCTTCTTTTTTCCCCTCCTGGGGCGGCCGGGTGGAGAGAGGATTGGTGCCGGCCCTGGTTTCTGTCTTCTTTCTCCTGTGACGATTGGGGGGCCCGGCCGTCCGACCAATGCAGGGCTCTTCTACATCCTTTGCCATGCCAGCATCAGTTGTCAATGGACTGCATAGCAGGCCTCTCTTCTTCTCGTGGGCCCTTCCCAAGAGCCCTGCCACGGAGAGACCACGCATCCCCATTTGACAGATTTGGAGACTGAGGCCCAAAGACATCAAGAGATGTTAGCAGCCAGTCAGCAGCAGAGTCAGGACAGGAATCCAGGATGAGAGTCCAGAGGCTTTGGTAACACTAAGCTGCACTCCCCCCCACCGGCGATGCTGGGGCCTTTCTGAATTGAGGGTACCCCGTAGTGCCAGGAATGATGAGAGGGCTGCCCCCCCCCGCCAGCTCCTTCACACAAACCTTTAGACCTTTCTGCCCCGTTTAAATGTGGGGGAAACAGCAGAACCCACTGCTTTATGGCCGTTGGTTCTGCACTGAGCCCTGTCTGGCTTCAGGCTTGGGAGAGAGCATTAAGGTGATTCTGCTCCCAGCACCCCCGGGACTCAGCATCACCACCCTGGATGTGTCAGAAGGGCAGAGCTGCTGGGGTTTGGTTTGGTTTGGTTGTGGGGGAGGAGGCCACCTATTGGTGCTCTGGGAGCTACTCCTGGCTTAGTGCTCGGGGGTCACTCTTGGTGGTGTTTGGGGACCCTGAGGTGCTGGGGGTGGAACCCGGGCTCCTGGGTCCCAGCCCTCAGCCACCTCCCTGGTCACTGATGGCCACATCGGAAGTAATCAGTGCCGCTGACCTTGCCCCACCAGCCATGATGGGGCGGAAGGCCGGCACACCCTCTGCTCCTGCCTGGCCACTCGGAGGGGTCAGATCATCTCACCAACACCTCCAGGGAGGCACTAGGCCTGGGGCTTGGCCAAGTGTCTGGTGGGAGGACCTGCCTCAAATGGGGTCCAGGCCAGCCCAGAGCTAACTGCCCGCATTCTACTGGGTGGCCGGGGCTGGGGAGAAGGGACCCGCCTGGCTGTCCCTGCGCCAGGTCCAGCCAGCAGGCCTTCTGCCGGTGGAGCTGGGCCAGTCAGTGGCCTTCCTGCCCCTTGGCTGGAGCGCCCTTATCTCCAGCTGTGCCTGGCTGCACTGCATGGCTGTGACGGAATGCGGCTGCCCTGTCTGTGTGTAGGCCAGAAGTTTCATTCCAAGAAATCTCAGCTCCCCATCTCCAGATTCCCCAAAGACCGCAGGGGTCGGGACCTCCTGGTCCCAACTCTCACCCCACTGTCCTGGTTCCTGGTGCTGAGCTCTTGCCCTTATGGCTCCTGGAACCCCTGTGAGCCCAGGGGTGCGCTCTTACCTCTGGGGAAACTGGGGCTCCTAGAGATATGTGGTGGGCTGCCCTGGACCAGATCAGCAGAGCCCACCTGTCCCGGGCTGGCTGAGAGAGGAGCTGGTGAGCCTGCTGATGGCACCTAATCCCAGGCCCCTCACCTGCCAGCAAAGCAGCTGCAGAGTGGAGCCATCTCTCGACTCCAAGGGTCTAGTGAGGACCAGTGAGTTAATGATGAACATGGCGTGCTCAATCAGCACCACATCAGGCGTGGCAAGTGAGACCACTGCCTCAAATTCACACACCAGGCTGCCTTGGTGGGAACAGGAGCAGGAGGGGAAGGAGAAGGCCATCATATAGGGAATAAGAGGGAGGGAGGAGGCTGCCATGAGGGGAAGGGACAGAAGGGGATGGAGGAGGGTGCCATGATGGAAGGGACGGGAGGGGAAGAAGGAGGCTCTCATGATGGGAAGGGACTGGAGGGGAGGGAAGAGGCTGCCATGATGGGAAGGGACAGAAGTGGCCCAAAGGATGCCACTTTGGATTCCCTGGGGGAAAAGGCAGCTCAGATAGAGAAGGGACCACCAAGTAAAGGGTGCTTGGAGGGTCCGCTCGGGATGGGAGATGCATGCTGAAAGTAGACTATAGACTGAACATGATGGCCACTTAATACCTGTATTGCAAACCACAACACCCTAAAAGAGAGAGTAAAAGGGAATGTGTCTGCCACAGAGGTGGGGGGAGGAGGGGGATACTGGGACCATTGGTGGTGGAGAATGGGCCCTGGTGAAGGGATGGGTACGCGATCATTGTATAACTGAAGCGTAAGCATGAAAGTTTGTAAGTCTATAACTGTATCTCATGGTGATTCATTAAAAAAAATTTTTTTTAATTTTTAAAAATTTTAAAAAGAAAGTGGGATCTGATGCTGGAAGAGCTTTCGCTAGGGCTGGAGGAGAGAAGTGAGAGGCAGGGTGGACTCCAGTCCCTCCTGGGGCAGTCCTGCCACATCTTCCCCTGCGGGTATTCTCAGGCCTGGGTCTATAGAGCTAGGTTATGTGAATATTGCGGGGAGACAGGGATACAACTGGATACAACAGATATACAACTCCCACCCCCCCCCACCCGCCTTCCTACTATCTTGGTCTGTGGCCTCATCTCTCTGGGTTCCTGCCTCTGACATCTCAGACCTCCCTTAAGCCTGGCAACTGAGGATTATAGTGAGAGAGTCTCTGAGGACTCTGTTCTGGAAGAGTCTCTGTTCTGGAAGATCCCAGCCCAGTCAAACCTGAGCATAGGAGAGACAAGGTTGGGGTGGTGGTGGGGTGAGGTCAGGGAGTTTTATAGACATTCCAGATCTGAGGGAGCCTGCCCCACACCCCTCCATCTGGGGTGATGTTGTTTTCCCCCAGGGTATTCTCAGGAAAGAGGCATCCACAGGCTTTCTCTCTCTCTCTCTCTCTCTCTCTCTCTCTCTCTCTCTCTCTCTCTCTCTCTCTCTCTCTCTCACACACACACACACACACACACACACAACTTGTAAGGACCACAAAAGGCTGTGACCTCTGGCAGAGGGGTGCACCCTGGTCCTCTGACCTCTCCCACCAGTCCATGTTCTGGCCTTGGCAGCTGCCTCTTCCAGGATGCCTGATGCCCACAAGGAGGGCAGATGTGCAGTCATAGTCCACATGCCCCCTCTTCAGGTGTCCGTCACACCCCTTTGCCTTCATCCATGTCTCCAGGGGGCTGAACACTGTTTACCTCGGCTGCCGATTTGGGGCCCAGAGCAGAGGCATGAAGTACATCGTGTTCTGAGTGCTGGTCGGGCTCTGACTCAGGGCCGCATGGCCAGCCCCTGCTGACCGTCAATGTATTACAAAGTCTCTGTACCCTGGCATCAGGCGCACCTTACTTCCTGACTCGCTCCCTCCACAGTGGCCCTGCCTCCCGAGAAGACAGACGGGCTGACCGGTGGAGATGAGAAGAAGATGGACAAGGCGAGCGACTCTTGCCCCGGCTCCAAGAAGCAGCTGAAGTTCGAGGTAAGTTTCCTTTCTGGATGCAGGGCCTGGGGAGAGAGACCCTGGCTTCTGGGGAGGGGTGATGTGGCCGTCCCGCCCTGCATGCAGACACAAGGTGAGTTTCCACCTGCACATCCGGAGCCGCCCAGCTCAGCACAGCACCCGCCTCTGCGCTGCCCTATAGCCCAGCCTCTCTTTGCCAGGGTACCTTGGGGGTCTGGGGGATGGTGCAAGGGGAGGGTTCAGGGCTAAGCGGATCCCGGATGTGGGAGCTAAGGTGGGTGGGGAACGTGTCTTCAAGAAGTGAATGTTGCTCTTCTTTCTGGAGCCTACCCTAGTCCCTGTGGGATTTCAAGGGTGCTTGACAAAAGCCGAGGCTGAACCCAGAGACAGAGGGAAGTCCAGGACCCACACACCTCGATTCCTCCCTAGAGGCCCATGTGGGCATTTCTGGAGGGGACGGTGAGCAGCTGCTGGCTGGTCCTGCAGGGTGGAGTAGGGGGTTACTCAGTTCTCAAACCTGAGCCTTGGGAGCACCTTGCTACGGAGTCTTGGGAAGGGGGTCAGGTTCATGACTTGTGTGTGTGTGTGTGTGTGTAAGAGAGAGTACATGTGTACACGTCTATGCATGTCTGTGTGCATTTGTGCACATGTTTGCATTTGTGTGCGTGAGTGGGTGTGTACCTGTGTCTGCATGCACATGTCTGTATGGATGTGTGTACATGTGTTTGAATTTGTGTGTACCTGTGTGTCTGCACACATGTATTTGCATACAGATGTGTGTGCAAATGTGTGTGGGGGGGTGCTCTTTTACATGTGTTGCATTTGTGTGCATGTGTGGGTATGCACCTCTGTGTCTGTGCATGCATGTGTTTCCATTTGTGTGCGTATGTGGGTGTGCACCTTTGTGTCTGTGTGTGCATGTGTTGGTATTTATGTGTGTGCCTGTGTGGGTGTGCACACACGTGTCTGTGTGTTGGCAACTGTGCATCTGTGGGTCAAGTACCTGTGTTACGATGTCAGTGTGTGCACACGTGAACATATGTGTGGGTGTGTGTCCACTTGAGCACGCGTTTGCATGTGTGCATGGTACCAAACGAAATGTCCAGGAGAGAAGCAGCGCTAGGCAGGTATCAGAGGGGCCTGTGACAACTGAGGGAAGGCTGACTTTGAACTCAGCCGGCCCGAGAGCTGCAGGATGTTGAGAGCCTGGCCAGGAGCTGCTGTAGCCTGCCCAGGGCAGGGAGACTGAGCTTGGTCACTCCACTGCCAGCCTCCATAGCAAGGCCAGCTGTGAGGGGCCCCCAGACAATCTCATGCCCAGCCAGTGGAGTGTGGCCAAGGGAAGCTAGACCCCAATAGGAAGGACAGGGGCTGCCTGCTTTCATAGGATTTCATGGTTTTTAAAGGCCGTTAGCAAAGCCTCTTTATATATATATATATATATATATATATATATATATATTTGGGGTGCCTTGCACACAGCTGGCCTGGCCGAGCCGGGTTTGATTCCTTCGCCCCTCTCAGAGAGCCCGGCAAGCTACTGAGAGTATATCTCGCCCACATAGCAAAACCTGGCAAGCTCCCCGTGACGTATTCGATATGCCAAACACAGTAACAACAAGTCTCACGATGGAGACGTTACTGGGCCTGCTCGAGCAAATCGATGAACAACGGGAGGACCGTGACCGTGACTTTTTGGGTCACACCTGGCGATGCACAGGGGTTCCTCCTGACTCTCTGCACTCAGGAATTAGTCCTGGTGGTGCTCAGGGGACCATATGGGATGCTGGGAATCGAACCCGGGTTCACTGTGCTATCGCTCCAGCCCTGAAAGCCTCTTTCTAAAGCCTCTACCTAAGTGCAGCGCCTCCTGCAACTCATAGGGAGGAAGGATGACTTGGTCACAATCACCACCACACCACCTCACCACCACAGGGGCAGCGGCTTCTGTCACCGCTGTGCACATGTGCCAGGGCTGGGAGGGTGTCCCGGGAGCAGGGAGGGAGGTTAATGAGCCACGCTCACTCCCTGGGGCAGCAGAGGTGAGGCGGCAGAGGAGGGGGCATCCCACCCCCAGCCCAGCCCTGCAACAGCTTCTCCTGTGCATCTAGTCCCTGAGCTGCAGGTGGGCACTGGTATGGGCAGTCGGGAACTGGCCACCACAGCTGCTGGGGTCTGCCCCTGTGGACCTAGAGGCTCGGGGGTGTGGCCGCAAGACCCACCCACACTTTAGAGGTAGTAGAGGAAACTGAGGCACAGAGAAGGTCCACGCAGGGTCCCTCTGCTCTGTGGGCTGACCCTGGACAGACACCAGCCCTGTACGCTCCAACCCTCCCCCTTTCTGCCCTGCCAGCTCCCTGAGTGCTGGGTCGGTTGGCTGTTCTGACCACTGGTCCATGTTCAGGCTTCCCAGAACCTCAGAGACCACCCCACCTCCCGAGTCCCCTTTGTCTCTGACCCACAGGAGATGGTCTGGTGGGTGGCCAGGCCGGCATCCCCGCTAGGCGATCTCCCTCCTCGAGGCCCTGCCTGTCCCAGTCGGTCACTGTTCTTGTCCTTCACTGGGGTCTGGGCGGGAGGGGCAGGGACAGGTTGGGGGGGTACGGGCCCTAGCACGATCCTGGTGGGCTCTGAGCCTCGGGTGAGCGGCCGCCCCACTGTGTCCGTTCATCCAGGAGCTGCAGTGTGATGTGTCCGTGGAGGAGGACAGCCGGCAGGAGTGGACCTTCACCCTGTATGACTTCGACAACAACGGCAAGGTCACCCGCGAGGTGAGTGCGCCTGCCTGGCCGCTCCCTGCCTACCACTCAGGGGCTGCTGCCTCATCTTCTCTGTCCATGGTGCTTCTGCTCCCCAGGGGCAGTCAGGGACTAGGGGGCTCCAGGGAGCAAGGCTTCTGGGAGCTTCCGGAAGTGAGAGGGAATGAGAAGAGATGGTCCAGGAAAAGTCCTCCCCGCCCTGCCCCTGCCCCGCCCTCAAAACGCTTCTCCCGTTGACCCAGGAGCCAAGTCCCTCCCCACAGGACAGGACCCCAACAGAATTTGGGCTGCTCTTTTCCTTCTGTGTGCCCAGAGCTCTGGACTGGGTAGGGGACCCTCCACCCGGGCCACATGCCCCCTCAGCCTGGCATGGGTGGGCACACAGAGCCTGCTCCCCGCTGCCCTCTGCTCTCAGCTCCCCATTCCCGCCTTCCCTGTGCTCCGGGCTCTTCTTTCTGCCCTGGGGTCTGCCTGTTGAGTCCCTGCTGCGTGGCACCTCCTTCGGACTAGATATGGGTGTGCAGCACGCGGCAGCCCCTGGCTCCCACCCTACAAACAGCCTGGGAGACTGGCGGGTTGGGATGGTTCCCAGATGGTACAGGGGCAGGGAGGTGGAGGGAGAGGACAGAGTGGCAGATGCCAGCTGAGACTTTGGGGCACAGAGCTGGGCATTTGCAGCCTGCCAGGTGGGGAGAGTCTGGGGTTCCCGGAGGGGAGGAGCCCTGGGTTTAAGGACCTGAGGCCTGGCTGGGCTTCTAGGGGTTCAGGGAAGCCATCGGAGACCCGGGATCTGCAGGGGTCGTGGGTTGGAATGAGTGAGGGAGGCTTTGCCTACTCTGGGCCCCTACTTGCCGTCCCCGGGACTCTGCTCCTCCTCCTCCTCCACCCTGTTCCTCTGACTCTTCCTCCTCCACACAAGACCCTGGTTCCCGTGTCTCAGCTTTGGTGACCCTACTTGCAGGTCTGTCACCAGTAAGCTTGGCTTCTGCTGTGGGAGGACCTCCAGGTGCTTCTCAGAGCTGGTGGGGGAGGGGGCTGAGGTGTCGTACCCCTCCCTGCAGGCTCGGGACTCAGCATCATCTCCTCTGCAGGGTGTGCAGGGGCAGCTGTCAGAGGAGAGCCAATGGGCTGGGGCAGCCCCTCCACAGCTGGGGCAGGGGCCGTGGGCCAGCTGCTGTGCTTCAGGACTCCACAGTCACTGTAGCCAAATCCCACAACAAGTGAAAGAGAAGCACACTTGGCCCCAGGGGCTGAGCTCCCACCTCCCGCCCACCTGGCCCTAGAGGCTCGTGTGTGTCCTCTGAGCATGCTCTCCTCGATGGTCCTCACTCTGCTGCGTCCTTGAGGTCAGGCAGGATCTCCCCAGGGCTGTAGTGAAACAACAAAGGGTGGTCTATGCCTCTGTGTCACCCCTCGGATTGAGAATGTGAGCAAAAGTTCCAGAAGTCCCACCCGAGCTCTGGTAGTGCCAGACCACTCGTTGGGGAACTTTCGATGGCCACGCTGGGTCATCAGCTTAGGAGGACAGGGGAAAGTGATGAGGTCCCTGGGCCATGAGGGAGAGGCCGATCTGAGCCATGAAAAGCCATCAGTTCTAGTGGAGCTCCCGTGGGGGCGTTAAATTCAGACATGGGGGGCTGGAGCAATAGTACAGCAGATAGCGTGTTTGCCTTGTACGTGGCCAACCCAGGTTCAACCCCTGGCATCCCATATGGTCCTCTGAGCACTGCCAGCAGTAAATCCTGAGTGCAAAGCCAGGCATAACCCCTGTGCATCACCGGATGTGACCCCCCCCCCAAAAAAAAGCAAATAGATAAACAAATAAATAAATAAATCCAGACACAGGCAGATGGAAAATGAGGGCCAGGTCGCGAGGCTAACTCTGTGCTAACACACACTGATCTGGTCACTGTTTCCTCAGCAGAGCCGTAGGTCACTCGGCAGTATCACAGTACCAGGCACTGCAACCAGTCCAGATGTAGGAATGATGCAGGTGTGCGGGAAATGCAGGGAGATTCCCTGCATAAATAGTGCCCTGCTTTATAGAAGGGTCTCGAGCACCCAGACTTTGTACCCCGAGTTGGGTCCTGGAAGTTGCCCTTTACAGATGCCAAAGGCCAGCTGTGAAGACCAAGTTCTGTGACCGGGCAGGAGTGCCCCTCCGGGGCCACTGGCACTAAGCCTGGAGCCTCTGGACTAAAAGGGCGGGGCTCGTGAGCAGAGGGGCCTGGGTTCTTTTGTTTTTTTGATAGGCAACATTTATTCTTTATTATTCTTCATATTCTTCATGTTGGAGTTCAGTTAACTTTCATAATTTCTTTAATGTAGGAGTACTGTTATCTATTCAGCCATTGATTAAGTTGATTGAATTGAGCATTAACTGCATATTACTTATTTTCCAGTTCAGTCAGTCCAGTCAGTCCTCCCATTGTTCATCGATTTGCTCGAGTGGGCCCAGTAACGTCTCCATCATGAGACTTGTTGTTACTGTGTTCGGCATACCGAATACGTCACTTGCCAGGCCCTGCCGTGTGGGCGAGATACTCTCGGTAGCCCATTACTTATTTTAATTTTTTTAATTGAATATCTGTGAGATAGACCATTACAAAGCTGTTCATAATTGGGTTTCAGTTATACAATGATCCAGCACCCATCCCTGCACTTTCCTTCTTGCGCTCTCTCTCTCTCTCTCTCTCTCTCTCTCTCTCTCTCTCTCTCTCTCTCTCTCTCCCCTTTTCCTTTTATGCATTATGGTTTGCAATACAGATACTAAGAGGTCATCATGGTTGTTCAGGGCGTACAGTATTTTTATTGGGACAGTAAAACTTTTTATTGTAGCAGCTTTTTAACTGGGTGGCACTTTTGGGGTGTGTATGTGACTGCCAGTGCTTCAGGAAGTACAGGGAGGTCGGGGGAGGTAGTCCATTCCAACCCCGAGAACACCTGGAGATTTCAGTCATAAAACCCGCCTACCTGAATTTTCAGCATACAAGAATTTTTCTTGGTGAGGTCCTCCTGAGACTCCAGGTCTGTCCTGGAGTCAGACTGGGGGTTGGATTGTGGAAGCAAGGACTGCCCCAGGGGCTCTGCTTGGGTGGGCAGCAGACTAACCCACCCCCCTCTAATTTACCCCCATCTGTTCAGCTTTGCATGAGTCCAAGATTAACTGTGGCTTTTGAGCTCTTTCGAGATTTATTTATGGGTCTCTGAAGCAAGGCCGGTAGTAGAGCTTAGGGGCTTGGGTTCTTGGGGACTAGGGAAGAATCTTCCCTTCCTGTTCAGGGCCTCATGGAGGCTGGAAGTTGTCTCGGCAACACCCTTGGGTGAAGGGTCCTGTGTGCTATGATGGTGTCTCCAGAATGCGTGGTTCCCTGCTCTCCTGTCTGGGAAGGGGCAGCAGCAGTGTCTTCTGGTTTGGGGGAGTGCGTCACAGGCATGACCTGGGGTTGCTGAGCTCGGTTGGGGTGACCCTACCATCCATTTATTAGGGCTCCCTGGGCTGCCAGGATGGGAGGGGATGTGGAGTTGGCACTGACAGCGGTCCACACTGCGCCCTCTGGTGGCTGCTCCTCCCATCTGGTTGGGGGGGTGGGGAGGGGTACACACGAAGCCCTGTGGGCAGACACTGCTACCCACTCTGCCCTCTTTCAGTGCATGATCCTAGAAGGACAGCAAGAAAGTGGGGTTGAGGGTCCAAGGAGGGTACCTGCCCCCACCCCCCAGAAAGTGGTCTAGAAGGATGTTTTCTTCTAATTCAGGGAAGACTCAGCTGCCTAGCACTTCCCTGAGTCTGTATTAGCACCCCCACCCCCACCCCACCAGCCCTCTGACTGGCTGAAAGTGCCTTGACCCCGCTCCCCACTCCTGTGTGCAAGGTCGATACTCTTCTTCGCTGTAGCCACAGGGAAGTGGGTGGCTGTGCTGACGACCCGCCTCTGAAGACATTCCGTGCTCATCCTTCCTCCTTAGGCATTGGTCTCCTGTGCAGGGATCATCTGGGCTGGAATGATAGTACAGCGGGTAGGACAGCTGCCTTGCATGCAGCCAACCTGGGTCCCATCCCCAGCCCCCCATATCCCACCAGGAGTAATTCCTGAACTCCCCAGGGACAGCCAAAACAAAAGGTCAAGTGCAGGGATCAGTCCTGCCATTCCGAACCACCAAAGCTTGCCCCTACGGTCCCAGGCATAGCAGATAAAGCTTGAGACCCGACCTCAAGTGTCTGCGTATAAAAGGGGATCATCTATCTCCTTGCAGGATGGAGAGAGAATGAGACAGGGGGCTGGGCCCAGGGGAGAAAGGGAGTAAGGTCCTCATGGGAAGATCTGGGATCGCTGAGGGGTCTTGGCCCCCATGATCCAAACCTGGCCTGCCATCATCCCTTGAGTTTTGTTGAAAGTAATTTATCAGAGCTAGAACGATAGCACAACAGGTAGGGTGTTTGCCTTGCACGCAGCTGACCCGCGTTCAATTCCCAGCATCCCATATGTCCCCCGATCACTGCCAGGAGTAATTCATGAGTGTATGAACCAGGAATAACCCCTGTGCATCACCGTGTGTGACCCAAAAAAGCAAAAAAGTAAATAAAATTTTATAAAAAGGAATGTGTCACAAGCAACAAAAGTAAAACTCGGTAAATGGGACTGCACCAAAGCTGTGTGCATCAAAGCACATGATCAAGGAGGTCAGAGAGATAGTGCAGAGGCAGGATGCTTGCCTTGCACATGGCAGACCCAGATTCAATCCTCAGCACCCAGTGTGACCCCTGAGCCCCACCAGATGGAAGCCCTGAGCACTGTTGGATGTGGCCCCCAAATAAAACAACAGAAACCGATGTTATCAGCAGAGTGGTGCCCTGTGGGGGCGGCCGGTGGGCGTGTGGGCGCGGGGGGGGGGGGGCGGGGTGCACCTTACACGACAGACATCTCCATCTGTCCTTGGATGAGGGACTTCACCCCACACAGAGCTGCACCCGCAGCATTGCCAAGGCTGCTTTGGCACACTAGGTGGAAACAGAGCAGGGTCTGACATGGTAGGGAGCCCCCCAAGACACAAAAGAGACCACCCCGCAGTTGGGCCCCTCTGGCCAGTGGAACCACAAAGTGTCAGGGCTGGAGAATTAGTCCAACCGGGAGGGCACTTGCCTTGCACATAGCTGACCCAGGTTTGAGGTCCAGCACTTCCTATGGTCAACTGAACCCTGAGCACCCCAATGCCCCTCAAGAAAAGGACAGAAGTCCAAGATAGAGATGCACACAGCAGCATCACGAACACTGACCCAAAGGGGGAGCCCCACGCCCACCACGGGTGGGTAGGAAGAGACTGTGGTCTGCATCATTCATTCCGCCTTTCCAGTGCAGGACACGCTGACTTTGCGGCAGAGCGTCTTTGTGACTGCAGGCTGGTGGGGTTGAGTCCCGTTAGGTGGCGCTGTCAGGTATTCGGAAGGTTTCACAGGGCAGGTTGCACCTCTGGCTTCTCAGGTGCCCCCTCAGCTGACTCCGCCACACCACTGGGCCGGTGTCAGCTGCGCCCAGCCTTGCACCTCACAGGTGGGCGGTTAGGAGGGGAGACTGTGGCTTTCACCCATCCGCAGACCTGCCTGGCCACATCCATGCCTAGCATCCCCTTGCCCATCCTCCTCCCTGTCCCCCTGGAGGATGATCCGTGTGTGTGAGAGGCTTTCTTGGGCTTCTGGCCAACTGTAGGAGAAGAAGCACCTTTTCCAGAGGTTTTCAGCGGTTGAAATAAAAGCATCCCCTGGGAGAGATGGCCGTAACCAATGCCCAGAGTAAAGGGGGAGCTAGTGACAGGGACCGCCCCCCTTGACCCACTCTCATTGGTGCTTGATGGCAGACCACTCTTTTGACTGAGGGGGTGGCTGGCGTCTCGAAGGAAGGGATTTGGCCACGTTCTCAGAGTGGATCTTGGGGGCTTTGTTTTCTGTTTGCTCTGGTGTCACACTCAGCGGTGCTCAGGGGCTACTCCCAGCTCCGTTTTCGGGGGGTCTCCCCCAGGGGTGCTCTGAAGACCATGTAGTGCAGAGCCCAGGCCTCCTGTGTTCAAGCCTGAGCTCAGTCCCCTGACCTCGGTCCCCAACTGCAGAGAAGAGTTGCTCTTTAGGGACTCATCAAATTGCCGTTTCTCATTCTGAAGGTGCACACGGACCTGCCGCAGTGGTCTCCATGTGCCACCCCCAGCCGCCACTGCCTCCTCCTCCTCCTCCTCCTCCTCCTCCTCCTCCTCCTATTCTCGTCCTCCTCCACTTCCTCCTCCTCTTATTCCTCCTCTTCCTCCTATTCCTCTTCCTCCTCCTCCTCCTCCTCCCCCTCTCCACCTCCCCGCCTAGTACAGAATCCACCAGAAGCGCTTTCCCCCTGGGAGTGGGAGCTGGCACAGCCCTTGCGGGAAAGCTCTTAAGTGCAGGGACCCGGCAAGGCCTGGAGCGTCCAGAGAGGCAGGCTCTGCGGTTCCTCCAGGACCCGCTGCAAGGAGCCCAGTGCCTAGGGCCGCTCTGTCTCATCCCCCCCTCTGGCTCTGCTCTCTTGCCCTCCTGTTGGCCTGAGGCTCAGCTTTTGGGGAGCCTGGGTAGCTAATTCCTCTTTTAAAGGCTCCTGGCTGAAGCCCCATGCACTTGGTCTCTGCTTCTCCCTTTCCAGGACATCACCAGCCTGCTGCACACCATCTATGAGGTGGTCGACTCGTCTGTCAACCACTCCCCGACTTCCAGCAAGACTCTGCGGGTGAAGCTCACTGTGGCCCCTGATGGCAGCCAGGGCAAGAAAGGGCTCCTCCTCCATCACCCCGGTGAGGGACTGGGGCGGGTACCAGGCCAGGGGGGGTTACTCCCCGCGACTTGGGCACCATCAGCACCCATCTGAGAGGATGGGATGGACGTTCTTGGGGCTGGGAGAGGATGGCTTAGCCTGTCTCAGCCAGGGGCCAGACCCCCACAGACACATACACCCAGTGCACCCCCCAGAATATTCCAAGCACCCCACAGGTGAAAATTGCATACAAAAAAAAAAAAAAGAACATGAAACCGGGACCCAGCTAGGTGGGGTGTGAGGGTGGGCACAGGAAGGAAATAAGGTCAGAAGGGAGCCATGATCGGAAACTGGTTGGAAAACACTGGTGGGATTTGGGGGTGGGGTCCCTAAGTGGTGGGCGCTGGGTAGGGAGGGAGAGGGAAGTGAGTCCAGGGCACCGTCTGGGTGAGCAAAGCCCTGGGGTGGGCTGGGCAGAGCAGCAGCTATGGACATGGTCTGGGCTGGCATGGGGAGTGGGGCTGGTGGGCAGGGCCTGCCCAGCCCAAAATAGGAGTCTGGGGAGAAGGTAAATATGAGAGTGGGCTTCAGGAGGGCCCCAGTCCTGGCCCAGAGAACCTTCTTAGAACCATGGGCAGCTGCTATGGGTCATGCCAGTCATTATAGACACTGGGGAGGGCCAGAGGCTGGTGGGCACCTGGGCCAGCTGCTGACCAGCTATTTATTGGGGTGGGGGGATTCAGACCTGCAGAGCCCGAGGCCCCGAGCAGACACCAAGCCCGCTGAGGAGCTGCGAAGCTGGGAGAAGAAGCAGCGAGCCCCCCTCAGGTATACTGTGGGCCCTGGTGGTGGAGCATGCATTGAGCACCCCCTGCATACCTGGGACAGAGGGCTTCTGAGCCGGAGGAGGCCCGGGTGCTCTACAGGGGTGGGGATTTTGAAGGGCAGCCTCACAAACCTCAATGTAAATAACAGCCTCAGAAAGTCAGAGCGACAGCTCAGTAGGTAGGGTGCTGGCGTTGCACATGGCCGACCCAGGCACCCTGGTTGGCCGTGTGCATCCTGTAGGGTCTTCCAAGCCAGCATTCTGAGTCCTCCCTGGCTGAGAGGACTCGGTAAGAGAGTCCTGGCACCCTGTAATTGGGCCAAACAGGTAGGAGAGCAGGTAAGGTCTTTGCCTTGCAAGTAGCCGATCTGGGTTTGATCCCTGGCCCCACATATGATCCCTCGAACTCCACCAGGAATGATCCCTGAGCACAGGGCCAGGAATAAGCCCTGAGCGCCACCAGCTATGACCCCCCAAAATACAAAAAGTAAATGGAGCCCTTCGTTGTTTGACCCAAGATACTTTGGCCCAGATAGGTTTCGCAATTGTTGGGTTTCAGAAAAATGCTCCTGGTATATTTCCCATGTATTATATTTGGGGTCTGGGCAGCGCTTCAAGATTTAGCACATTGATACTCAGCAGGGAGAAATGAATATTCACACCAAGTGAATAAACACTCCAGCCCCTTCACATCCTGTTAGGGCAGCGGAGGCTGCCAAAGCGGGTGTGAAAGTCTGTCTGCAGGCTCTGGGGCTTTCAGAAGGGCGGGCAATGGCCGGGCTGCTGTTACCTCTCACCTGTTGCTCTCTCTCTAACAAGACTCAAGAAAGGGGAGGAAAAGAAAGGAAGGAACCTGTCAAGAAAGGCCAGGAGGGCTCAGAGAACTCAGCTAAGACACAGTAATGGCAGCCTCAGAAAGGAGCTGGAGTTGGAGAAGCACCAGGACCTGAAGATGGGGGGTTAGGGGGTGTGGGGAGGGCAAGAGACTCAGGCAGTGGAAGAGTGGAGGGTCCAAGCTGGCAGAGATGGGGGCCTGTGCTAGGCCCCCCTGCAGGTGGGGCAGGAGAAGGGCAGTGACCAGGAGCCTAGAATTTTGCCATGTGTGCTCACACACATGCACACGCACATGTACACACACACCCACAGTCTCACAGATGCACACACCACAAATGCATAGGCATGCACACCCACTCCTATACATGCACATGTACATGTGTGGGTACATACACACCACATACATGCACACACCGTACATAAATACACAGACATAAACACACGTGCATGCCCAGTTATATACATGCACATGTGCAAATATATGTGTATACACCGCACACAGATACACATGCAACACACCCCACATGCTCAGGTATACACACCCACTCATATACATGCACATCACACATGTGTATGCACTCCACACATGCAAACAGGCACATATACACACAGACACACATGCATGCACACCCCCGTGAGAAGAGTCTGGTGATAACACACTCACATACATGCACAGACACATAAGCACACACACACACACACACACACACACACACACACAGGCTGTTTCTAAGCTCTGAGCCCCACTAGGGCTGATCCAGCTGCAGTTCCAACATCTTGGGGGTTTCTACCCAGCTCCCTGGGGAACCAGGCCACCATCCAGAGAGTGGGCACACGTGGTTTAAAGCCTGGGTTTGGGGTAAACTTCAGTTTTGGTCAGTAGCCCGTCCCTTTGATTGTGGCCTGTTCACAGTTCTGTGCCGTTGTCCCAGATGCCCAGGGAGGTCAGCTGGGTACACAGAGATAAGTTCACTCTCCCTCACCCCTCCCAGGGGCCATGAGAATGTAGCCGAGAGTCCAGAAGGGCTTTCCAGGTCGAGTGGAGCTGCCCCCCTGTCCCACCTCCCCTCCGGGACACCCACACACCTACCTCTCCCATAGGTTCCAAGGGGACAGCCGTCTGGAGCAGTCTGGCTGCTACCACCACTGCGTGGATGAGAACATCGAGAGGAGAAACCACTACTTAGATCTCGCTGGGATAGAGAACTACACGTCCCAGTTTGGG